AAAAAAGAAAACCGTAGGGGCAAATTTTTTTTTTTTTTTTTTTTTTTTTTTTTTTTTTTTTTGTCATTTTGATAGTATCTAATCTCCTTGTAGTCACCTGTCTTGATAGGAACAGTTCTAGCATGAAATTTCTATTGGTTTCTAGGTCTTCAAGTCACTATGAAGACACCTAAATATAATAAAGGAGTATACTGGCAAGCTTTAGTTTTCTTTGCTGTTGTAAGAATTGTGTAGCTTATGTCAAATCACCAGAAAAATGACATTTCTATCAGTGTGTGTTTTAATTGGCTCATATAGAAATCATTCTTATTTTAAATATAGGACTTTAAATTAACTGAAGAAAGATATTAAAGTGTTTATTTTGTGATGGTATTTTTAACACATTAGAAGGTCTTGAGTTTGGGAGTTATTCCTTTCTTGACTAGCTGGTAGGCCTTAATCAAACACATATGCATTACAGCATTTAAATGTCATTAAAATTTATTGCAGAAGGACAATTTTTTAAATCTATTACTGCCTGCTGCCTTTATTCTTTCATCTATTTTAGAATTAAGCATGGGTTTTCTCTTTTCTTTCTTTTTGAGTTTCTGGCATTCTTCCTTTTTCTTTTATATACTTAAATACTTTTAACAAAATAGAATCTTCAACTTTCCTACCAGGACTTGAAAGATTCTAATGGGAAAATAAGGTTACAACAATGATACAGTGTGGCATGTTAAGAAGAAAACTCATAAATTCTTAATCTTTACTAAAATGAATTACTACATTTTTTCTGAATCATGTTTGTTCAGATACATAATAAGATGTGTATTATTTAACCATCTGCTGACTTTAATAACTTCCTAATCAACTTTTGTGACAGCTTATAAATTTCAGATCAATAAAGCTTGAAAATTGGCAGTGTCTTCTCAACTCTGACTAAATTACAAAGTTTTAAAACTCAGAATAATTACATTTCATTTAAGTACCAACTTGAAGACTTATAAATGAAAGTTCTTACATGTTCTTTTTTTTTTTTTTTCATTTCATATTGCAGTTCAGCAGAATCAGAAGATTTGGCAGTTCATTTATATCCAGGAGCCGTTACTATTCAAGGTGTTCTCAGGAGGAAAACTCTGTTAAAAGAAGGCAAAAAGCCTACAGTAAGTATCACTTTCTCTTTTCTTTCTTTTCTTTTCTTTTTTTGCTACTGGGTACATGAGCTGGCCAGAGACAGAGAGCGAGAAATTGCTCCCCAGCGTGCTGGCCATCCCGCAGCCCCTTCTCCTGTGTTCTCCTCTCCTGATTTTGAATACTCACACACACATGCCTGGGGAGGTGGGGACAGGGGAGGTATTAATTTGGTAACATTTATTTAAAAAATTTAAATGCATACTCTTTGACTTAGTAATTCCACTTTTCAGTAACTATCTTACAGGTTGTTAAATCTACATAGTTAAGATTGCTCACTGCAACATTCTGAATATTACATCAATGGGGAATTACAAGATATGCTATCTTTTCCTCAGCATCCCCACGCATGCGTTTTAAGCTGCCGGGTCTGGGACTCTGACCACAGTCGATTATGTGGGAGTCCAGCAACATAACTATTACACCTTCTGATGGTACGAAGACATTACATTTTAACATACCTCTAAAAAACATGTAAATATTTAAGACCCTAAAAAAGGATTAAGACAATTGAAATTTAAAAATCAGTTATATAGTATACTCAGAATAACTTAAAATACGCATCTGCCTCACTGTGTTGCTTAAAGTGTTTCTTAAATTTAATCAATACCTGCTTTGTAGATTCCAGCTACATAATACAGGAAGGATGCTTAAATCATTGTTCTCCTATGCTTCTCTTTTCCAAACCCTCACCCCTCTACGTGGTTCTTTTATAAAACTATTTCTTAGAAAATCCTGAAAGTATACTGTTAAGTATTTTAGTAATGAGTTTAGGAAAAAACAGAAAATAAAGAGGGACAGTTCTAAAAAATGGAGTTTGAGCAATTTTATTGTCAGTTTATTTAAATCTCTAATGCAGCTTTGTTTTCCTGCATAAAATAGAATCTAGATCTTAAATGTTTTCCAAACTGAACCTGTATTGGGGCGAGAAAAGCTTAGAGGAACAAAGCTTTTCATATGGAATAAAGAAATTTGTTCTTCCCCAATTACCTTCACAATTTGACTATCAAAGGAAGAATATGTTTTTCTTTTCTCAAAGAATACTATAATTTATCTAATTTGAAATATAAAACCTTTGAAGTATTGCATCAAAATCGTGACACATTTTTGCATAGAAAAACAGAAAAACACCCATGACTTTTCCAATGACCCAGTATATCCACACTTAAAGCATTTGAAGATGTTAGGGCTTCTTAAAATTTAAAAATGGGGGGAACCAGCAGTTAGCGTAATGGCTATGTCGCTGGACTCCCACGTAGTCTACCGCGGTTCGCGTCCCAGACCCGGTGGCTTAAAACTCACTCCGGGCGATTGTGCGTGCATGCTCAAGATCCTGAGAGGAGAATAGAGGAGAAGGGATTGCAGCGTGACCATCCCCCCTGGGGGGTGATTTCTTGCCTTCTGTCTCTATGTCTCTCTCTGTCTGTCTGGCGAGCGCACGCGCCCTATAGTGAAAACCTCTCCAAAAAATAAAAAAATAAAATTTAAAAATAGGGACCCGCAGATGGCATAGGTGTGTGTACATAAGTCCCCAAAATCCCAAGAGGAGAATGAAGAAGAGATTGCAGCATGGCCATGCCCCTGGGCGGTGATTTCTTGCTTTCTGCCTCTCTGGCAAGCTCAAGCACCCTACAGCAAAAAAAATCTCTAAAAGAAAGAAAAAAAAAAACTCAAAAGGAGGGACCAGCTGATGGCCCAATGATTACATCTCTGGACTCCCACACGGTCAGCTGCATTTCAAATCCTGGACACAACAGCTTGAAACTCAGCAGGGTTCATGTGCGTGTGTGCCTAAAATCCTGAAAGGAGCATGGAAGAAAAGGGATTGTGACATGGCCATTCCCCCAGAGGCTGATTTCTCACTTTTTGTCTCTCTCTGTCTCTCCAGTAAGCGCGTGCACCCTGTAGCAAAACTCTCTCTCAAAAAATATTCAAGAGGAGATGTCAGTTTGGCTCTTAAAAAAGTACAATGCAAGAGATTAGCAGGGAGGTGGTGACTAGAAGTAGAGACTTAGGAATCGTTAGCATACAGATTTGAAGTACAGAACTGGATGAGGTAGAAGAAAAAAGTCTAATTGATGAAGAAGAAAAGGGCTTGGGAGAAAACTCTGTAGTATTAAAGGTCAGCTACAAGAAGAATATAGAGGAAAGCTGAGAAGCTGTGATCTCAGAAATGTAGCAGTAAAAGCACTTTGGGAACCAAGGAATGTGACCATCTGTGTCAAATGCTGCTAAGGAGCAGATGAGGATGGTCTTTGGTAAAAATGTCAGTGACCCAGGACCTCAGCAGCAGTGGTTTCCAGCTGAAAGCCAAATGAAGTATGTTGAATAGAAGATAAAGTAGAAGAGTCAGGAGTGAAAGACAACATTGTAAGAAGTTGTGCTATGAAAAAAGAACTGAGAATTGGATGGTGTTGGGGGGATGAAAGGATTTTTAAGGCTCCTTTGCATAGTGGTGATAGAGGCAGAGAAATTGAATGCAGGGAAGAAACATGCTAAGTAGAAAAACCTACATCTTGGGGGGACCAGCAGTTGGCGTAATGGCTATGTCGCTGGACTCCCACGTAGTCGACCGCGGTTCGAGTCCCGGACACAGTGGCTTAAACTCATGCCGGGCACGTGTGCGTGCATGCCCAAGATCCCGAGAGGACAATGGAGAAGGGATTGCAGCATGGCCATCCCCCCTGGGGGGTGGTTTTCTGCTTTCTCTCTCTCTGTCTCTCTCTCTCTGGCGCTGGACTCCCACACGGTCAGCTGCATTTCAAATCCTGGACACAACAGCTTGAAACTCAGCAGGGTTCATGTGCGTGTGTGCCTAAAATCCTGAAAGGAGCATGGAAGAAAAGGGATTGTGACATGGCCATTCCCCCAGAGGCTGATTTCTCACTTTTTGTCTCTCTCTGTCTCTCCAGTAAGCGCGTGCACCCTGTAGCAAAACTCTCTCTCAAAAAATATTCAAGAGGAGATGTCAGTTTGGCTCTTAAAAAAGTACAATGCAAGAGATTAGCAGGGAGGTGGTGACTAGAAGTAGAGACTTAGGAATCGTTAGCATACAGATTTGAAGTACAGAACTGGATGAGGTAGAAGAAAAAAGTCTAATTGATGAAGAAGAAAAGGGCTTGGGAGAAAACTCTGTAGTATTAAAGGTCAGCTACAAGAAGAATATAGAGGAAAGCTGAGAAGCTGTGATCTCAGAAATGTAGCAGTAAAAGCACTTTGGGAACCAAGGAATGTGACCATCTGTGTCAAATGCTGCTAAGGAGCAGATGAGGATGGTCTTTGGTAAAAATGTCAGTGACCCAGGACCTCAGCAGCAGTGGTTTCCAGCTGAAAGCCAAATGAAGTATGTTGAATAGAAGATAAAGTAGAAGAGTCAGGAGTGAAAGACAACATTGTAAGAAGTTGTGCTATGAAAAAAGAACTGAGAATTGGATGGTGTTGGGGGGATGAAAGGATTTTTAAGGCTCCTTTGCATAGTGGTGATAGAGGCAGAGAAATTGAATGCAGGGAAGAAACATGCTAAGTAGAAAAACCTACATCTTGGGGGGACCAGCAGTTGGCGTAATGGCTATGTCGCTGGACTCCCACGTAGTCGACCGCGGTTCGAGTCCCGGACACAGTGGCTTAAACTCATGCCGGGCACGTGTGCGTGCATGCCCAAGATCCCGAGAGGACAATGGAGAAGGGATTGCAGCATGGCCATCCCCCCTGGGGGGTGGTTTTCTGCTTTCTCTCTCTCTGTCTCTCTCTCTCTGGCGAGCGCACGCGCCCTATAGCAAAAATCTCTCCCCAAAAAAAGAAAGGAAAACCTACATCTTGGGGCCGGCAGGTAGTGTGGATGTTAAGGGCGCTGGACTCCCACGTGACTGACCACGGTTCAAGTCCCGGACCTGGTGGCTTGCTTTCTCACACTCCTTCTCTCTCTTCCTCTCTGGTAAAATTAAAATAAGTAAGTAAATAAATAAATAAAGCTGAATAAAAATAATTCTAGAAAAAAATCCTACATTTTAAGTGAAGGATAGTAGGAATTTAGGGCATAAAAAGAGTCGAGTTTGTCATTAGATAGGATCAGGGTTAACTATTCTGTTGCAGCAAGAAAAAAGATGTGGGTATGTGGATCTACAAATGGGTGGTTAGTGGGATCAGTATTCCAAGAAGGCAAAATGCTCACCAGATTTCATCTGTCAGTAGTTTTCTTTAGGAAGTGTGCAATGACATCATGAGGAAGGGAGTGGAGTCTTAGAATTGTGAGGAGAAAGTTTGAAATAGTTGTATCCAGAGAAAGTATAATATCTTATTGGGCAAAAGAAAAAATACTGTTGATTTTCATTTTAAGATTGGTGATCATTATTTTATCAGTTGGCATAATCATGTGATTTCTTCAGCAACACTCAGCTACTGTGATTTGGAGCCAAATAATCAGATGGTTGGATTTGACTAGGGTTAAGATTTTTATCAGTGGAATTAAAGTGTTTGGAAAGGAGGGGATGTAGCGCTGGGCCAAGAATATTGGCTAGAGATGAACAAAGGGAGGGGCGGCGTAGTTCTGGGGAAGGAGAGGCAGAAATGGGATTCTTACTGAGATCAGGCATTATCTCAGTGAGAGTACTAGAGCATAGGAGATACAAGTGATGGGAATAGCTAAGGTAAATTTCAGAGTAGGGGACCAGAAGACGGTGTAATGGTTATGGCATTGGGTTCCCATGTAATCGACCACGGTTTGAGCCGTGGACCTGGCGGCTTAAAACACGCCAGTCCTGGACCTGGTAGCTTAAAACACACCAGGCACACGTGCGTGCCCAAGATCCTGAGAGGAGAAGAAATTGTGGCATGACCATGCCCCCTGGGAGGTGACTTACCACTTTCTGTCTCTCTGTGTCTCCAGCAAGCACACGTGTCCTATAGCAAAAATATCAAAAAGAAAAATTCAGATTAGCCCTTTGATATTTGAAGTAGAGTGGCACATTGGCACTAAGAAGGTAAAGACACTGAGAAGCCAGTAGCATTTTAATAGTTTATTCATGTGTTTGTCTTCTGCAGGTAGCGTCTTGGACAAAGTATTGGGCAGCTTTGTGTGGGACACAGCTTTTTTACTATGCTGCCAAATCTCTCAAGGCTACAGAAAGAAAACATGTAAGTACTCCTCTGCTGACTTTTTAGCATAGATGCACAGCCTCTTTGTGATTGTAAAGAAAGCAATCCTAAAAGGATGTAAGAATCTTCTGGGGTTCTTCCCCTCATATCTAATCCAGAAGTTCTTACACTTACTCCTCATATGAATACTGTAGTAGAATTGTTTTTATTTAGGAAGACCATTCCAAGGAAGGGCTTGGAATAACTTTCCTATTTTTGAAGTTTCTTTTGAATACTATTTTTCCATTGCAGATGTCAAAAATGCTTGTTACAACTATCTATCTTGGCATCAAAACTTTCTTAGACCTGTTTCTGGTTCAGGACATAGTTTAAAACTGTTGCCTCAGGGCCAGCAGGTGGTATAGTAGTAGAGTTGCTGGACTCCCACTTGGCCAACCATGATTCGAGTCCCATACCTGGTGGCTTGAAAATCACACTGGACATGCATGTGGGTGCCCAAAATCCCAAGAGAAGACTGGAGGAGAGGGGATTACAGCATGGCCATCCACCCTCAAGGGTGACTTCTCACTTCCCTCTCTCTGTCTCTCTCTGGCAAGTGTACATGCCCTACAGCAAAACGCTGGAAACAAAGCAAAACAAAAGCCTGTTGCCTTGAGGTCTTTGTTCCTACTGTGTAAAATGTGAAAATTTGAGACCAACTTCTCCAGGTCTTTTTATCTTCATCTCTAATTCTCAACAGTGAAGAGGAATGAGTGTTCCTACAGTCCGCTTTGTTGTGCTACTGTTAACATGACTTCAAAGAAGCATGTCAATGCGCTTACACCACGAGAATCTGCCGGTTAATCTATTGTATGCTGTTTGGTTTTTATATGCCAGTACTACAGTCATCCAGAGGAAGAATGACTTTCCATGTTGTGTTAATAAAATCTGATACAATTTTTATTTTTAGATCATATATTTAGGAGGAAAAATTAAGTGGTTTATCCTACTGAGGAAAAGTAAACCACTAAAGAAAAATCTGTCTTTTTTCTACCTGTAAGTTATCCAATGACACTGTATAATTCAAAGTTCTCTTTTATTCTGTTTTAGCTCTTTAACCAAACCAAAGGTACAGAAGAGGAAATGTTTGGTTTAAATGAATGTGGCGATGTGTACATTGCCTTCCTTATCAACAAGGGCCCACAGGCTAGTCACTGTCCTGAATCTCATGTTAATCGTTGCCTTGCTTTTCTTTAGACTGTTACCACATATTTCCCTAATTACATCATTTCATTCTGAACTATACTTGAATAGAATCGTGTGTATTTTTTTTTTTTTTTTTGAGAGGTTTCTGCTCTAGGGCGCGTGCGCTCACCGGAAAGACAGAGAGAGACATAGAGACAGAAAGCAAGAAATCACCCCCCAGGGGGAATGGTCACGCCGCAATCCCTTCTCCTCCATTCGCCTCTCGGGATCTTGGGCACGCACGCACACGTGCCTGGCATGAGTTTAAGCCACCAGGTCCCGGACTCAAACCATGGTCGACTACATGAGAGTCCAGCGATGTAGCCGTTACGCCAACTGCTGGTCCCTGGAATCATATGTATTTTTAAACAGTGACTTTTTTTACTCACTGCTATCATTGTTTACATAGCTCATGCATTGTAGTAAAGGACTGAATGAGTGATCCTAGGAATCCCTTCTCTGAGTATCAATTTTTTACATTCTGATCAGTTAACTATAGTACCCACATACCCTGCAAAGTCATACAGATTAGTTTCAGTACAATGTTTTGCAGAGTAATTACCTCTAGTTACTATTCCTGTACTCAGGAGGGAAAGGTAGATTAGGTTGTCCAGAAAATCATGACATATTTTTTCTAGTTTTCTGTGCAAAAATGCATCATGATTTACCCTACAACCCAATAGTTAAATTGAATCCTTTGTCATCAAATATAAAGCAAGTAACTTTTTAGGGACCAGCAGTTTGCAAAATGGCTATGTCGCTGGACTCCCACATAGTTGACAGCGGTTCAAGTCCCGGACCTGGTGGCTTAAACTCACGCCAGGCGCGTGTGCATGTGTGCCCAAGATCCCGAGAGGAGAATGGAGGAGAAGGGATTGTGGTATGGCCATCCTCCCTGGGGGGTGATTTCTCACTTTCTGTCTGTCTGTCTCTTTCTAGCAAGTGCACATGCCCTACGGCAAAAACTTCTCCCAAAAAAAAGTAACTTTTATGTTTTACATTTTCCCACAGTGACCTTACATATCAAAATATTTTTGCTCATATTCTATAGTTCTTGACAGTTAATAAGCAACTTTTAAAATTCCCAAGATACTAAATTTTAAAGATAACTTTCAAAATATTTGTTATAATTTTGTTTGTGACTCTATAACAGCAGAGACAGCATGGCTTTAAATATGTTCAGAAAATACTTACATGTCAGCTACTCAAACTATTGAGAAGCAAACACCCTGCACACAAATAACACATGAACCTTCCCAATTCAACTCTGCCCACCAAGTATTCTGTGGTTCACCATCTGCTAGCAAAGATCGGTCTCTTTTTCTTCCTTCAAAGGCTTCCTCAAGGTAATACTTTGGTTGTGGCTGCTCTTTTGCAATCTCTTCTGATGACAATGCTGGGCTGGAAAAGTCCAGGTTATTTTATGGTATGAATTCTTTCACATGGCTTCTTTAATTCTCTCTGCCAGACAGAACTGTTTATGGTGCCAGGCAATCTTTCCACGAGCTTCTGTTGGCTTTCTTGAGATCTACTTTAGTTCCATAGTTTTCTGGTCGTATCTTCACATATGGCATTCTAGTCTTTCTTGTGGCAATAAAAAAAAAAAAAAAAAAAAAAAAAGCCTTGGCAATAGCAAGTGTTTCCAGTTTCTGATGCAAGGCAACAGGTATTACTGAACTTATGCAGATAATCCTTCTGCCACAAAATAAGAATACTCACAAATATTTTACAGTTCCAGAGGTGTCAGGAAGAGAAAAGTTTATGTTTCAATTTAAAAGAAAAAAAAAACATTTTAACAGATTGCTGAACCTATCAACAGCCCAAAAAAAAAAAAGGCAAAATCTTTAAATCTGGAAAACAAAGTTTAGTACAAAAATCAGTAATGTTTTAGTCAAAAGTCATAAAATTATATTTCACCAGTTCAGTCTCATGTAATTAAACCATCTTCTGTTGAATTTGCAGTGTTACTGAGGTCTAATCTTTCCATTTAAATTCTGGAAGTTAGCATTCAGTGTTATTATTAATATTTCTGGACTTGTCCAGAATAAGAGAACAAAGAGCATTTTATTGGTTGCTCTTTGTTCTCTTATTTCTGTTTGTGTGTCTTTAGTTTTCCTAGTAAAGCACTCCCTTCAGAATTTCTTGAAGAACTGGTCTGGTGTTGGTAAATTCTTTCAGGTTTTCTTTATCTGAGAATGTTTTTATCTTTTCTTCCCATGAGAATGATAATCTTGTTGGGTACAGTAATCTTGGTTGAAATTGTTTTTCATTTAACACTTCGAATATATTTTCCTATGCTTTCCTTGCTCACATTGTTTCCAGTGAGAGGGCTGATGTTAGCCTGATGGGATATCCTTTGTCAGTAACCTGACATTTCTTTCTTGTCAGTTTTATTATCTTGTCTTTGCCTATGGACTTGACCAGTCTAGCTATAACATGCCTTAGAGAAGATCATCTTGGGTTGATTCTGTGTGGAATCTTTTGTATTTCTTGGGTCTGGACATTTGAATGCCTCTCTAGATTTGTAAAGTTTTCTTCCAGGATTTCATGGACTAGATTATCAATGCCCTTAGTAGTTTCTTCACCTTCTGGGATACCAGTTATCTGGATGCTTAGGCACTTAATGTTACTTTGGGGGGTTATTTTCTTTGATCTTTTCGGTGATTTTTTTCTAGGTCAGAGATTTTGTCTTCAGTATCTGAGATTCAATCTTCTGCATGGTCTAATCTGCTTTTAATACTTTTGAGGGAGGTTTTGATTTCCTGTATTATAGCCTTCATCTCTAACAGCTCCATTTGATTCTTTTTTATGGCGTGTGTTTATTCTTTAAAATTGCGAAAGAACCTCCTCACCTCCTGGAACTCCTCGTCTCTTTTTTCTTGTACCTTCTGGAGTTCTTTGTTTCTCACCTCTTGTATCTCATTTAGTTTTGTCACTATGAACATTCCAAATTCTTTATCAAACATTTCTAACGAGTACCCTTGTACTATCTGGATGGTGAAGGGCTGTTCTTTTCCCTTGGGGGAGAGATATTTTCTTGATTTCTCATGTTCTTATGTCTCAGCAGTGGTTTCTGGTCATCTGATGGATTATACTTTTCTTCCTAATTTCTTGCAGTTAATTCTAAGCCTTCAGCGGTGTGTGGGAGGAGGTGATCTGCAATCTCTCTGCAGTTCTGTTTCCCTAATGCTTTTCACTTTGAAACTGGATATTACAAAGGCTTCACAGTTTCTAGGGAATAGGTGAACCTGGGCTGGGCTGTGGCATTTCAGCTGAGGATTCAGAGGCATGTGGGAGGAGATGAGCCATGCTCTCTGCAGCTCCATACGTCTTCCTGCTACTCACTGCAGTCTCTCTCTGAGTTTTAGTCACTTGGTGGCGTATTCACTTTTGTCTAATTGCTTCAAGAAGGTTTATGCAACTATAGGATCATGTGCTTCCCTTTACTGTAAGGTACTTCTGAGACAGTTTCTCTCCTCTACTGTGTTTTGCAGCATGGTACCCACAGAAATAAATTTTGAGTTCAGATTTATAAAGAGGAGTTTCTTCCTTCAGGCAAAGGTTCAGTAAGGGCTGAGGATTTCTGTGACCCTAAACGTATTCAAATGCTTGGCTATTGTGCACTTAGGCCTGTCTAGAGACTCAGTGTGTGGAGGCTGAACAGCAGAGTGAGAAAGTAATGTTAGGGGCCAGCAGGTGGTGTGGTGGCTAAGGGCACTGGACTCCCACATAGCCAACCACGGTTCAAGTTCAGACCTGGTGGCTTGCTTTCTCACTTGCTCTCATTCTGTCCCTCTCTGGTCAAATTAATAATA